CCCGCCCCGCCCCACCCCGCCCCCCGCGCCTCTCCGGTTTCCTGAGCTGCGGGCTGCCAGGGCGAAGCGGCGGCGGCTTGCAACCCCCTCGGCTGGGCCCCGGGGTAATTCGATGCGGGCCTGGCGAGGCTCCCCACGCTAGACCCGGGCTCGCGTCTCGGCAGCCTCCACCCACCGGCCCACCCTACATTTAGCGCGTCATGTGATTCGGGTAAGTCATTTGCAAGTACAACAGTTCCCTGGGTTGCCCCCCATTCATTTCCTGAGAACTGCAGAGAGCAGCTGAGAGGCTCTGCTTGTGCGTGTGCGTGTGAGTGTGTGCGCGCGCGTGTGTGTGTGTGAGAGAGAAAGGGCGAGAGAGGGAGAGAGAGAGACTGACTCTGTGTAAGGGAAAGAAAACAATTTCTCCTGCTCTGCAGCTTCTGTTCAGGTCTGTGCCGATTCCGTTTCTTATCAAAATAAACAACCCCCTCCTTTTTTTGCCATCCCAAACTAGGCCGTATTCTCTTACCATGTTTTATTTTCCTTCTGTCATCTGCTCAAGTTAAATCATTTGGTTGGTCTGTGGTCTTAAAGGGGGAAAGTGTTGGGAGCGGGAGGGGGCCTGGGAAGGGCGATGCTACTGCAAAGCGAAGAGCGTCGGTCGGATTCGTGGAGAAGAAAGAGGGAGGTTACTTCCCCACTCCCCTATTTTTTTTTTTTTTTTTAAAGAACTTAACAACGTGAATTAAGCAAATGTTTTTCCACCCCGGATGGGGTTGTTGGTTGCAGTGTTTGCCTGACAGTTGCCCAGGATGAGAACTAAAGCCCCAGGGCTGGGTGGGGGTGGGGATGGGGTCGTGGAAGTAGTTGGCCCCAGGAATGGGGTTGTGGGATGGATAGCTGTCGCACCGGGCCGTTTGGGCTGTGCGCGCGCTGCCGAGCGGAGGGGAAGGGGTTAAGGCGGAGATGACACTGCTGGCATGAATAGTGGTCCTGGTGCTACATTCATTATTGTCTCTCGTCTGTAATGATGTGTAACTGTCAGTTGCTACGGTGCTCGGTCCGCGGAGGTAGCCAGGGGCCGGCCGGTGGCTGTTATTTTCAATTACGAGGGACCTGGCCGGAGTTGACAGGGGGCAACTTTGCACGTCCACTCGGGCCGGGAAGCCCGCGGAGGCAGCCCGAGAGCCACTTCGTGCCTCCGAAGCTCGCTCCGAGGGCTCGGACTTGACCTCCGCGACTCTAGTTGGTGTTCTTGTCAGATGCTCCCCTGCAGGGAGAATCAGTCCTGCTTTTGTTGGGTGGAGAACTGCCTACTGGAACTTTGAAAACTTTTATCTTCGGGGAAAAGGGTGGGGTGCACTCAACAGTTTTGTTTCTCAGTGCGTTAGAGGCAAATGCCTGGAAAAAGTACCAATTCCTTTGTTATGAGCCCTGTTACTTCCCCACCCCCCTCGCCCTGCTCTTCGAGTTTTGCATACTTTAATAGTAATAACCTTAATTCAGCTGATAGAAGCTGACTGTTGAGCTAGAGTATTAGTACAGCGGAATGTGTAATCTGGATAAACAGTTTGTGTGGGTAGTATTGTCAGGTCTCTAATTTAACTGTACAGATGGCCCAAGTACCTTCTGTATGGATTGTTTTAAGTAATTCCACTGGCTAATAGAATTCTCCGCCAAGCACACAGGTATTTTAATTCAGCTTTAATAACCTGTTTCCCCATAAGGCCAAGCAGCGCTATTTACATTTAGGGCATGTGCATCTCCTTGCTTTAGTGGACATCTGCCAGTCACGCACGCGTCATTCTGCGAATCCACCTAGGTGGCTCCATACCCTTTTCTTAGTGGAGGATAGAGTTTAGCTAAGCAAATGCACTGAAATCAGTTCAGTGGTTTTTAGCAAGCAGCAGCTTGTGGATGGGAATAGGAGTGGCCACTTTGAAGAGTGAGAGCGCGCTCTCTTCTAAGAAATGCTTTTAAAATTGGCATTTAATTACAACAGCGGAACCCCCTCCTCCCAAAGGACAAAAAACCTGATTGTGCCATGGGCAGATCTCACTAGCATGTTGTTTCCATTTTCTTAAAAGCTCAGAAATTGATAACAATAAAAAGGGTATTCAAACTGTTAGGCTCAAAAAACAAAACAAACTATAGTTTATCTTTGTAGAAATAAAATGTTGAAGGGCAGACATTTCAGTTGCCTAAGATACATCTTTATTGCTGCAGCCTGGTCAGTCTTGATACTGGATTACTATATTACACTCCCTTGAGTTGAGGAGAGAGCAGTTTGGGCATACAAGAATTGGCAGAAATTTCAATATAGTTAGGAAAGACATTATTCTACCAACTCATAACTGATGAAATACCCTTGGAGTGGTAAACCTGGGATGTTGTCTCATAAACATTTCATCATGTATGCACTAGAACTGTAACATAGCCATGTCAGATTAAACAAAATAATCTGGAAGAATTTATTTTTGAAATCCTTCAGTTACTGTTCTTTCTGCTACTTAGTAGGGCATATTTGAGAGAAACCTCAGTCAGTTGAACTTTATTGGGGGGAATGGGTTTTATTAATTTATGGAGTGAAAATTATTGTGCTAATGAGCCCTTAGCAGTCCCCTGTCTCCCAGTTCCTTTTCAAGAAATGAATGTCATTTAGGAGGAAGTGGTCCTGCTGTAGCTTTTGAGACCTTGACCTTAGCAACTCTTGGCTGGTGGTTGTTTACTACTACTGCAGTCTGCTGGTACTGAAAGGGAAGGCAAAGCAAACTCCCTCTGTTTTCAGTCTCCGAGCCTAGAGGAGAAGGAATCCAGATACGTGGTGTTCCGTTCACAGTGTACATCAGACCTGAGTATCCGGGGTGTTCTGGTCGTGTAATATGTATGTTGCTCAGGATCTCTTCTGGCCGGCTACGAAGGAGAACAGCATGCATTTTCACAGCTTTGGAGTGAATTGCAGGCGTTATATTGTGGAGCAGGGTGCTATCAACTTTATGAAATAATTTGATCTAAAGCATGGGCATGTTTCATCTCAGCGAAGATGCATTAAGTGTTTAGGACTTCAGGCTTGTACTGAGGGCATTTTGAATTGGAAATGTTGGTTAATCTAGAGTATTGAGTAACCTTACCCAGTGAGATGATGTTAAGAAACAGTGGAACAGATACAGGTTCTGGGGATTTTCTCCCTTATACAAAATGAAAAACATGAAATTTCCTATTTATGCAAATTAAGTGGCATTAGAATAATTACAGTAAGTTGTGATGTTGAGTAGCTATTTTCCTTGTATTTTGAGCAAAGCAATGTTATATGTCAAGTTTATAGTCTAACGAGTTTGTGGGTTACAAAATAGTTGAACAAAACTGTAATGGCACAAACTCACTTAAAACTCAAAAACTTTTCCTTTTTTTTGGATAAATATATTTACCCACTTTTGCTTGTATGTTGACTAATGAATAAACCAGAGCTTGAAATCTCAAAGGAGTTTTAATCAAAATTGATGTTATTGTATTTTTTGTTCAGGAAATAACTTTCATTTTTATAAATTCAGAATGGGTTCTACTTGCTTATCTGTGTGCATTTTGAAAATACCATATGATAATAAACTAGAAATGACTATATTTTTGCTATTTGTGAATTTTCCTTTTTAAACTCAGATTTAAAAAAAAAAAACTCGGGGGCCGGTAGAAATGGCTCAGTAGAATAAGCGCTTCCCTGGCAAACATAAGGGCCTGAGTTCAATCCCTGGTTCCACAAAAAAAAAAATCCAAAAAAACTCAATCTACAAGTTTGCACAGCTTTCAGCTTTAAATGTGTACAAAAGGCAAGAGTAAATATATTAAAATTAAGTCACTGGTAACACCCTCCTATAACCACAGCCTTCACTCCTGCAGCACAGTCACGCCTCCCAGAAGCAAGATGAGAGTAAACACATGAGCCTTGCCCTATGCCCAGAAGGTCAGCTGCCTTGGGCTCGGTCAGTCCTGCTTGGTTCCTAGCTCCCAAGCCCTCTCAGAGAGCTGCCTGCCTGCCACTGGGCAGAATTCATTTTCAGGCCTACCCGGGCCACACCCCAGCTGATGTCAGCTACTGAGTTCCTTTGGTTGGGAACACATGCTGTGGATTAAATGGGGACTTTCTGTATATAGTCTCAGTAATTATGTTACAAAAGGATTTTTCGGTATTGGGTGTTTATTGTCATAAAGTGGCTACTTGAGTAATCATATTGCTCCATAAAAATTTGCTTTGGTTTGGCACTAGATGACAGGATAGTCCCCTGAAGCAGTCTGCTATGGTACTGTCTAGTTCTAACTTAAAGCCATTTTGTTAAAGGTCTTTTGTTGCTGATCTTATGGTCTGTATTTTTGTGTATTTTTTAATGTAGTACTTGGCCTGGTCCATGGTATTGTTTAGGTATGAGAGAGTAGCAGAGAACCCTTGTGATTGTCTTGCTCTGTGAAAGGTGGGAGAGAAAACAATCAGAAAGCTTTGAAATAGTTTTCCCACCTTCAGCTCTTGAAAGGCTGTGGAAGTACCATGGTTACTACCTGCAGGCTTTGATGGCCAGGAATTGTATCCCAAGGGGCAATATTCGTCATGTTTTTCAGTTTAGATAGATTTTCTCAGTAATTTTTATGTGTATATATATGCTCTGTGCATACATAATTATATATATATATATATAGAGAGAGAGAGAGAATTTATATTTGTGCATGTGTTTTCCACGTTGGATATATACCCATATATCATACGCTTCCTGATCAACAATTACAGTATAAAAAGGAGAAGCACACCAGGTTAGTAGTTTTCCAAATTCTGTGTTTAGTAATATAGTACTTTTCTCACTTTGAGATTAACAAGCTGTTTTATAACCAAATGTAAAACCTGTGCTACTTCGAAAAACAAAACAAAACCCCCACCAAAAGCAACCAAGACAGATTATTGTGTGAGAGAGAGAGAACTAAAGAAAACCTTCCTTAATTTCATAATCAGCTTCTAGAATCAGAGCTCAGCCCAGTGGCAGAGTGTCCAAGGCGGCCTCTCTTGCTTATGAACTCTGGATGACCTTGGTCAAATTTCCTAACTGTGGTGAGGGTCAGATGAAGTCCTAGGGGTAAAAGCCACTTTGTGCTGTGAGTACTTGTGTAGCGTCTGATTCCAAAGGCAAAGTGCCCTGACTTTCCCTCACCCCCTAGTCTTGTCTCTTCCACCCGACCAAAAGGGATGGACTTTCTAGCGTCTCCAAGTGAGCGTATAAATTACATTTACGAAGAAGGAATTTCCGTGTGGGTAGAAATCTGCTGGCAGTCCAAAGTTGTGAATTCCATTCCTGTCTCCACCAGAGGTTTGCACTGTGACCTTGAGAAAGTCACTCTTTAAAGGTTTCTATGCAGCTGATGTGAAAGTCATGGATGATTAACATGTGCATCATATAGATGAAGTTTCTC